GAAGAGAGTGGCGGGAGAGGCGGGGGTCGCCGCCACAATGGCGGTATCCGACTCGGAGGACTCGTACAGTAGTAGCAATCATAGGCGGAGCAAGAGCAACAACAGCCACAACAGCCACAACAGCCACAGCAGCAACAAGTTTCAGAGTTTTAGTCCTTCGACGCCGCCTCCAACTTCGGTTAACTATAGGACAGCTAAACGGAGGAAGGGAATCCCACATCGAGCTCCGATGGGAGGGCTAGTTTTAGAATATTAGTATTATTACTTTCTCTTAATTACTTTAAGACCCCTGAAATGTAATGTAATTGCCACGATGCTCCTCTCCGATGCCTGAAGCTTTGTGAAAGAGGCCGGTGTTGGAGGCTTACTCTTAGAGCTTTGTATATAGAAGAAGCATAGATATGGGGGAAGAAGAAGAAGGGAAAAAGAAATAAGGCAAATGTGAAAATATGTGAAATTTAGAGGACTAAAAGGAAAAATAAGTTTGGTAGGTTTGAGTAATTATATGAAATAGGTTGGAGTTATAGGGAATTATACTAAGTTTTGGGGTGAAGTTGTAAATATTGGGTGGGATTTTTCTCTTTCTTATGCTTATTAGATGTCTTGATGAGGATATAATGTAATCCTTGGAATAATGGAATTTGGAAAATGATGTTTATATGTAAAATTAAATGAAAATAAAATATATTGTATTATTTATTTTCTCTATTTATTATTATTATTTTTTTATTAATTATCCCTCTAAAAAATTATATTTTTAGTTTTTGAATTTTTAATATTTGGTCGGACTTTTTAAATTTTATTTTAAGATGTTTTTGTTTGTTAGATAAATAGAGTTGGAGATGAGATTATATTCTCTGCCTCACTTAATATAAATATATATATATTTATTTATTTTATTTTATGGTCGTATTAATTAAATTTTTTAATAAAAATTATATTGAAAAATGAAAATTATCTTACCCGAAACTTGATCCACGCAAACTCTTTGTGAGGAATCTTCGCTCCAATTTTAAATTTAGTGGCTTTTTAAATATAAAATTCAAAATTTAAAGACTTCTAGTAATTTTATAAAGTTGATGTATTAGGTTGAAAGGTTTTGGTAGAGATGTTCACCAACCTCGACTATTCAACCCAACTAGGTTAGTAGTTTGTGTGGTGTTGTGTTGAGTTGAATTTTTTGAAAATTTGAAAATTGGGATCGGGTTTGTTCGGTTGACTTTTTTTTTTTTTTTTTTTTGTTAGATCAACCCGACCAACTCCGAAAATAGGGTTACAATCCAACCCAACTTACTTTACTCTTAAGATTATTATAAAGATTAAAATATTTAATCTTTGTAATAAATGTTAGAACATTGAATTTTTTAAACAACCCGACAACTCAGCTCCAAAACAATTTTTTTTTTTTTTTTTTGACGGAATTTAAAATTAAAAAATAAAGCTAAAAAAAAGGAATTGAAATTTGTAAAAAGTGAAAACAAATTTCCAATTATGGAAGGTTTTTGACTACCAACATCCCAAGTGGCAAGTGGGAGGGAGGTGGGCCCAGGGCGGCACGTGTGGTTGTTGTCATCCTAACACGTGTCGAAACTACATTCGCCAACAGTAATGAGAAAGCGGAAGGTATTCTTTCTTATGTGGGTCCCATACTTTCTGAGTGCTTCCGTGTGCTTCTCGCGTGGGTCCCACCCTTCTGTCAACATCAACCTACGATACCACATTTAATTTTCCTTTTTTTATTTTCCATTTTCCCTTTTTCCAACTTTAAAAATATATATATTTATTGAGATTTATATTCTAAAGTCTAGTAATTAATTATTTAATTTTAAATATTAATTTTAATTATTTTATGAAAAATTTAAAATTATTAATGTAATCTTAAATAATATGTGATTGACACCGTATTCCAAATTCAAAGTTGATTATATGCTTTAAAAAACGTCAGAGGGAATTTTTTTAGTACTATGAATGTATCGTACATTTTTTGTTCACACTATGGCTTTACCTTTATAAATATTCTTTTTTAATGTTAGTGGACCTCGAGACAAGAAAGTACGAGTATCCTTTTCTACAATGCTACTGTTCGTGTAAGCCAAAAAATGTTATAAATTTTTTTCTACGATTCAAATTCCTACCGAACGTAGTATAGAAAAGACGAAAAATAGAGGTAAGAGTATAGTTTTCGCACTCGGATTTGGACCATAAAGTTTCTTACACATGACTAGTCATAATGTTGCATTGAAGAGACAATTTGAATTGATTTTTCTTTTATTTTATTTTATTTTAAACTATTTTTTCTTTTATATTGTCATGTATTTAAATATAGATATTTTAATGAAGAGTCCCTCCAACACAAAACTCTTTATTTGTATAATTTTTAATTAAAAATTAGATGAGGAAAGAATAATAATAATAATAATAATAATAATAATAATAATAATAATAATAATAATAATAAGAATAATGTCACATCTTGGATATGACATGTGTGAACCCATAGAGACCACTCAAATCCCCCTAGAGTGCAGTAGATTTATAAAAAAAGCACCAACCAGTAATATTTTGCCACGTGTTGCTCCAAAAGTATTATGTAGTTATGATAGTGTTTATATAACTAATTCACTAAACAGAGAGTTAAGTTGGGTATGTAACTATCCAGATCTATTGCTAACAGATATTATCCTTGTTCGACTTTCCCTTTCGCGATTCTTCTCAAGGTTTTAAAATGCGTCTAAATCCACCCGTATGTCTGTAAATGGCTATGGGATTATTTTGTTGAGTAAAATGGAGGCTTTGACGTCGATTTCGTAGGGTTTGGTCTCGCTAGAGTTTCATCGAATTTTCTCTGTCTTCTTCGTTTTCCCTTATTTTTTTTTTCTTATTTGCAAGTGTCTTGGGGTGGCGGAAGGTCGGGATCGAGTTCCTTGATGACCCAGACTTTGAACGCCCTTTGTGGGTCGTGTGCGAACGAAAACTCCGGAGACCCGTCGACGACTCTATTTTTTTTTTTTCATCTGATCCATTACTACTGGTCATGGATCCTATTTGAGTTATTCAAGTCAGGAAGAATACTAACTTTGATCCATTACAATCCATTAAATTAAATATTTTTAATTTTTAATTTAATACTTTATTTTAATTTATAAATTACTACGCCATGATTTTCTTTATTTTAATTTTATATAATTATATAATTATTAAATACAAAGATGATTACCTAAACTCAACTTAGAGATCATATTTTTAATATCTTTCGTTCGTTTTTTATAGTTAAATATGTCATAAAGTTTAGTTAGATCGAACATTTAAATTAAAATATTATTTTTTTATCGCTTAATTTTTGTAACTAAAATAGAATAAAACTTTTTTTTTTTATTTTTATTTTATGAAACTATATTTTGGTGGTAGCTTAGTAGGAACTCACAAAAAAAAATAATAATAATAAATAAATAAATAAAACTTTTTGGGAGAGAGATATCCACTACCATTTCTTTTTATACCCATTTTCTTGCAAATAGATTTAAAAGGCACTTTTTTTTTTTTTTTTTTTTTTTTTTTTTTTTTTTTTTTTTTTTTTTTTTTTTTTTTTTTTTTTTTTTTTTTTNAAAAAAAATAATAATAATAAATAAATAAATAAAACTTTTTGGGAGAGAGATATCCACTACCATTTCTTTTTATACCCATTTTCTTGCAAATAGATTTAAAAGGCACTTTTTTTTTTTTTTTTTTTTTTTTTTTTTTTTTTTTTTTTTTTTTTTTTGTTGCTAAATTTAATAATTAAATAACTAAATTGGATGGTCGTGGGTCCCACCTTGGGACGAGCTCAGTTTCGATTTTAGTTCATTTTGGTTTATATATTTTAAAAATATTTTAAAAAAAATATGGCACGTGTATACAAAATTAGTGAATGAATTATTGTAATAAAACTTTAATTAATCTATTTGATTTAGGAAAAAGAAATGTGACAAAATGAGATTATTCGAATAAGTTTAATAGAAAAAATAATAAAAGAAGGCTAAAGTTAATAAATGTGTTATTTTTTTTATAGAAGGGTATTATTGTCTTTTAACATTGACTAAAATGTTAGAAACTATGTTAAATTAATTTTAAAAAAAAAACTAAAATTCATTAATTTAAACTATTTTTAAAACATTATTCAATAAATAAAATCTCTCAAAACTTGGGTGAGAAAAATGGTTGAATATCCAGAAAAGAGACACATTCCATGGGCCTTATGGGCTTGGCCCAGTCCGACAACTACTTTTGTAGGGCCCAATTAGGATGGAATTTGGATAATTCAAATAAATAATTATTTTTTTCATTTGAAATTTACTTCCAATTTATAACTGGGCCCTAAAGATTTGAGCCCAATTCAAATCTTAGTTATTCCTCAAGCCCAAATTACTCGTTTTGATGGGCTTATAGTTCGGTTTCAAAAAATAGATGGTTGAGTTGGGTAGTTGAGCCTTGAACTCTGATAGGTTGCTCAGGTCATAAGATAAAAAATTTCTCCAACCTAACTCAACTCAACGTGTGTACACCCCTACCTAATTTCTTAAAATCTCACATCGAACGATTCATTTCTCTTTTTGTTATCGTGGAATTCGTCATCAAGATGGATTGCCCTTACACGGTCAACGAACTCATACTAATGACAAATTCGAAAATGAACTCAGTCTATCGAAAGCCCTTGGTACTAGACGGATCAATCACACTGATAGCTTAAATAGTTCACTCAAATTTGGTGTCGTTTTTTTTTTTCTTTCTATTTCAGGGGTTACTATCAACTCTATTCATGTTGCTCATGTCACAAATCTCGGGTTGGTTCTTAACTCAACTCAACCCGTGTATACCTCTACCTAAATTATTAACAGAGAAAAACAAAAAAACCACCCTATAGTTCTATAATTAGTCACTAAGTCGAGCATAACTAAATAGATAAGACATCATTTACCATCTCGAACGTTAATAGTTCGATCTCGAACCCACTTAGCTATAGCTGAACTATAAAAAATGAAATTTAACATATATTTTCAAATGAGAAATAATACATCCCGATAGTCGTACATATTTTTAATAATCGTTTCAATGTCAATATTTCTACAAACCCGAAAAGAAAGCAATAAGGTTAAAAGTTATGTTTTTGTTGATTATTTGAGTGTGTTAGACATAACCTTGCTTGTGTCTGCGGAAAAGGTTCTCAGATTTGGCATTTTTTAAAGCCAAAAATGCCATCAAATACACAAAAACAAGACCTATAAGTGCAATCAGCAGAATTAGGTCAGCATTTCTCCATTCTTCCTTGAGGTTAGCTAGCAACCCTGCCTTACATGAATCACACCCGTAGCATAGCTCAGTCTGCTCGTTGCTCCATTTCGAGCAATCCACGCTCGCTCCGTTGCTTATCGGACTAATCCAGTACGTCGGGTTTACGTAGGTGAACCCACAATCTGTCGGTGGCTTGCAACACCCCGACTAGTAAAACAATACGTAGAAAATATTAAATACATTAGAATCTATCGACTCATGGCCGACTTGAAAAACAAAATATTTTTAAGCACGAGAAAATCAAGATTTTACCTGGAGAGGGCTGATATGGGCATTGAAGAAATCTTGAGGTAACCTATAGTTTTGGTTCAACTCGGCACATGTAGTTGTAGAACTAAGACAAGTTCGAATTCTCTCCCATTTATGAGAGCTTCGAACCCTTCTTTGGAGCCAGAGCGAGAAGTCATCGAGGTGATACTCCAAGTAAGCTCGGCTTGGTTCGGTATGACCCGAACCTCTCATAGTGACGGAGAACACAAAGAGAACCAAGCTACCAAGTAGGATTATGAGAACAAGCATGGCAATGAGGTAGAACATTAGAAGCCCTGAGATTCTCCAAAAGGCTCCAATGAAACCCGTCAATGCCACGAGAAAGATCACGATGCCGAGAACGATGACGGGCCATTGCAAAAGTTGCACACAGGCGTTGTCAGCTTGGGTTGCGATCCAGATCCCGGCACCGATGATGGGGATCGAGAGCAGCAAGGCGATGAAGTTTATGGCTGCAATGACATTGTTGCTCAATGCCATTGTGATGAGGTTATTGGTTGGTGATGTTTTGTGAAGGGAGGTTGGTGTTTTTTAAAGGAAGAACTTGTCCATATGGAAGAGGAAAGAATATTGAAGAGGAAAAAAGTGGTGATGGAACCAAGAACATGTGTAAAAGCTTAGACAAAAGGGTTAATCAAGCTTGATGCTTCCACATGAATTTCTCTTTTATGGACTAAAGTTTGCATCTTTGTCCTATGAGATCTTATTTTCATGTTTGAATGAGTCACAAGCTTCTCCCTTTTTCGGTTTTTTAAGAGAATTCGGTTTTGTTTCTTACAGTATTATAAGTATTGTAGCTACCGAGCACGAGATAACGAATGTAATCAGCTATAATGAAGAAATTAGGAATAAATACAAAAGTTTCTTTCAATTCAACAATACGTAGGGAGAGAGATTTTGTGAGATCTAGTAGACACGTATTAAAACCGTGAGGTTGATATGGATATGCAACGGGTAAAAACAGACAATATCTGTTAGCAGTGGGCTTGGACTGTTACAAATGGCATCGAGCGGTGTGCAAACGAGGGCGCTAGGTGTCACGGTCATGCGTGTTGCTCATAATCGCATGCCCATGACAAACCAAACCCTTTATGTCTTTCTATATTCTAATGTTTTACTTTTGTATTTCTAGGAAGTGACGTTTTGTAAAAATCATGTTTAGGTTTACCAGACATGAAATGCCTCCTAATGTACTATAGAGGATATGACTAGTTTTCTTTCAAAATCTCTCTCTACCCTTGTTTTCTAAAACCTTCTTCTTAAACCGAGGCCAGAGGCTCGAGCATACGTCGCTTGACCGTAGGCGACGTAAGAACGAATTGGCTTAGCTCACTTGTCATTGGAAAGTGAGTACCACATAATCGCAAGTCCGCTGCCATAAAGAGTGCGATTGTGACACTGGGCTCCCAAATGGGTAGATGGTGAGATCTCGTATGGGTTTGAGAGAGAAATGAAACATTAGTTATAAGGGTGTGGAAACCTCTATTTAGTATACGTGTATTAAAACCATGAGGTTGACAGGGATACTTAACGAGTCAAAGTGGACAATATGTGCTAGCAGTGAACTTGAACTGTTAGATTTGAACATCAGACCTCTTGAACAATGGTGAATGTTTTATGTCGGGGAAGTTTTAAAAGTTAGAGTAAATTGTGAATTAGTTACCTTTAAACTTTATATTTTATCTCGAAAACATTTAAACTTTCTAGAGTTTTAATAAAACCCTTTAATTTTCAAAAAAAAAAAAAAAAA